TCATTTTCTCATACTCTTCATTCCATCCATCTTTGCAATCCTACAAACATGAATTATATCGAATTAAGCCATATTTCAATATATAAATCAACAATTTTTCATGTTTTGTGACCTAAATAAGTGTACAAAAATGCACTTATCATCCACCGTCAGTTGACCTCAAAAATGGAAAAAAGGAAAATTTTGACCAATTTAAAAATTGGCATATTCGTCCATTCCTTTTTCAAATCCATCTTAGTTGGCAAAATACAAAATTTACCAAAATCCACGAAAGTATCACTTGAAAAAAAATCGATCAAAGTGCCCTAGTACACTCCCTAAAAATCACTTGGTTAGTAAACAAGGCGACAGCCATAGAGACCGAATTGTTGTGCCTGTACTGCTCCATCATGAAGGGATGTTGCCCCACCAACACCAGCGACCGTTACATAACTGAGTGCGCATCGTGCAGCCGTGTAAAACACAGCCCAACCACCTCTTCCATATCCGTGCACAGGAGTCCCCTCTCTGTCTATCCATCTCCGACCTCCCCACCCCAATCGTCTCTCACCCCGACGACCCCTTCGAGCCAACTGGGTTCATTATTGCCTTGTCCACCTGGTTGCTCGAGCCCTACCCGATATTTGCGGATTCTTCGTTCACCGGTCACTTAGCTGAACTTGAAAGGGTGCTTGAAACAACATCGCCGAGTAATCCGAATTCGAACTAGGTGATGGTGGATAATTTAAGGGCTTATTTGCAAATAATTGATGTAGCATCGATTTTGGAGCTTGATTATGATATTTCAGACCATGCTTTTTAGGGATTGTTCTTCGGTTACTTGTTTGAGGAATCGGAGCATAGAAGCATTAGCCATTGCGGCTCTTGTGCAGGCCATTAGGGAAGCTCAAGAGCGTAGAACTCTTCAGGTATTATGAATATAAGTTTGTTTCTTTAGTGTCATTGTAATTGGGTATTTCGTTCGAAACTTATGTGAACTCTGAAATTTTCTGTGGGATTTGTGGTGGGTGGGGTGTTTGAAGAAGATGGTGATTTTTTTCTTTTATTTATTGTTTTTAAAGAGAAATTACCGTATGGACGGAAATGTCCCTCCTTAAAATGGTCAAAATATCCTTTTTTAATTTTTCAGGTGGACTAACGTTGATTTGGACGGTTTCTGTCCAGATGGACCTTCGGTACGAATTTCTCAAAGGCTTGAGACATGTGATGGCACACAGTGAAGGTTGAGGTAAAGTTTGCAAAAAACTAAAAAGTTTGGGATTGCGACTGCAATTTTCCCTTAAGTTTAATGGGCCAAAAGATGAAAAGAAGGATTAAAGTTGAATCATCCATGTTGACTTTGAATCGTTAAGTTTTTCTCCTTCCTTCTTGTCTATAAAAACTAGGTGAGATTTTTTTGCATGTTTGAATTGTGTTTTAAGATTTTTCGACATCCTCTGATGCTAAAGACTTGTAGTGTATATAGGACAGGAGCTTAGGACATAAATAATCGTGTAAAAACTATTTATAATGCTCTCGAAGTCTTACACGTCAAGTAAAATTCGAAATTTTGTGTTAGCAGAGCAACTCTGATTTAGCCTGAAAAATGTTGCATTTAAAAAATATTTGGGACATAAATACAAAAATAAACAAAAGTTAGAGACTTTTGTTCCAATTTAAATGTGATATGTTTAAGAAAAATCTGTACCCATTACCTATATGTATTTAGCGCTTGTCTGGTTGACATTGTGACCAGATTTTAATAAGTTTTTTACACGTTTGCAATGGTCAGTGGGACCTAACTGCACTGTATTAATGCTAAACGAATATTAGCCTTGATCTAATTTTGTCTTTTGTGTTACAATTGTCTATTATACCCTTATTTCTATATTTTAATTGTTTCCTTTTTTTACCCTATAATTGGTATCAGAGTCTAATAACGAAACTAAAGAAAATTTTTAGAA